AAAAGAAGTAAAAAAATTAAAGGTGTGAGAGCCAGGAGGCGAGAGGAGGGGGGTGGCTGCCTTCCTCCCAACATGGAGGGACCTTACCCCCCAGGGTTTGTTCCCACTGGACCCACACAGGAGCCTGTCCTGATCCTGCCAAGGCGGAAGGTGGCCAGAGAGGTCCATGGAAGCACAGCGGAGGGATGAGGGAGGTTTTGGGAGCATCCCCAGGAGAAGGGGTTCTCCAGCCTCCCATCCCTCGCTGAGCATTGGTGGGATGGTGGTGGTGAAGCAGAGCCTCACAGTGGGGGGCAGCAGCGGGATCGGCCCCCTGGGATGCTGTCCCTGTGATCCCAGGGGTTTTTGGGGTGCTCATCACCCTCCCCCTCATCTTTTCGGTTTGCAAAAAAACCCTTTCAACTGCATCCTGATGTGCCCCAAGCCTGTCCTGTGGCTGCTTCGTTGGCAGCTGCTCCCCCCTGTGCCTGACACTTTTTGTGTCCTGGGAAAGGGATGTCGGGGCAATTTGTGGGGTAACAAGGGGGGGAAATTACCCTGATGAGTTTTTTTTTTGGGGGGGGAAAGAGGAGGACCAGGAATACCTTTCTGGGGCTTCCCACTATCCCCTAGGTGCCTTCAGTGGTCTGAGCAGCAACATCTCTTTTTCTTTTTAGAAGAAGGAAAAAAGCCCCAAAATAAAAGGAAGACCCCTGCTCTTCGAGTCAAGGCTGGGCTGGGGGAGCAGCAGTGAAACCCTCCTATCAGAGTGCAGCCAGCTCACTGATGAGATAAAGGAGGAACGTTATTCTTTCGATTAGAGTAGTCGTAGGTGTTACTTGTAATAACAGGTGATAAGATCTTTTGGAGAGTGTGAGGATGTTGTCTGGTTTGGGGTTGGTTGGGTTGTTTTTTTTAAGGTTGCAGAAACTCGAGTGGTTGAGCGTTCGGAGGTGGTTCGGTGAGGGTGGGATAGGTGAGCAGGGTGGATGCGGATGGTGCCCACGGGCCTTTTTCTGATGGGAGTGAAGCTTTCCCACCATCTCCAACTAACCTGGATTTATAACAGGATCATCCTTAGCTGGTGCTGGGCAGCTGCTCCCCGTTTCCCTGGCTTTGAAATGTAAATGCAGCATCTTTTTCCCACACTGCTGGTTCTTATAGGGTGGTTTTCACTCTGGGGGCCCCAAATTCCCCCCCGACCTGCCTGCAGCCTTGGCACCATAAGATTTTGGCTGGTGATGAACCAGAGGAAAGGTTTCCTTGGCTCATTTCCCTGGTGCCCTTTGGATTATCAGGGTGACAAAGCTATTTTCCATACCTGCCTTGCCCACCTCCCCTGGCTCCTGAGCCAGCCTTCCAGGAGGGAAATCCAGGAGCAGGGCTGTGAGGGGGGCAGTGGGGATGAGCTCAAACCTCAGCTGCCCTTTTCGGGGTGCAGCAGCACGCTGAAGTTCCTCACCAGGGTGCCCAGGAATTGAAGGACGCTCAGATGGAGAAGAAAGTGAGACGGTTTTGGCAGAGAAAAGGCTGGTGGGTTCTCCTGCATGCCCCAGTTGCTTCCTTGTGCGCAGTTTGGGCATGGGAAGTTTCCAGGGGGAGCAAAACCCTCGCCTGGAAGAGCTGAAAATAACCAAACCAGGCACTCGGCTCCACTGAATTGGTTGGGCTGCTCCTTGTCTATTTTTCTTCATTATTATGTGTTTTTTTCACGTTGACTTGTGCTGCTCCACATCCTCCCTGGGGAAGCAGCTCTTCTTTAGGAGAGAAGGGGTGACGCCGGTGTTTTCTCAGAGCTCATCAGTGGGGATGCTGCCTTTAGGCTCCGGATCTGCTCTGGCATCACCACCTCCTTCTCCCAACCCGGCCCCATCCCACAGGGACAAGCCAGGGTGGCAGAAGCAACTGCGGGCACGACGTTGGGGCTGGCCTGGGGGGCGCGCCCAGAAGGGACCGCTGGCTCATCAAATGGGGCCACCACAGGCAGCGGCACCTTTTGGGGGGGCTGGTTGGCCCCGGCCCTGGCGCTCGGGTCGTGTGGTTTCCTCCTCTTCGGGAAGCTTCAGCTTTGAGGTAGAAATTAGGTAACGATTAGAAAAAAAAAAGAAAAAAAAAAGTCAGGTTGCTGCTTCAAAGTTACCCTCGGGAGGAAGAAGGTCTGCACCGAAATGTAGAAGGGGGCTCTGCAAAGGGCAGTTCCTGGTGCCATTAACCACCTCCCCCTGGAAGACTGATAAGCAGATTTCTTTTGATGTATTTATAACAGTGCCACTGTCTGATGTCACAAATGTCCACAGGTCCGAGAGGGTGAAAATGCTGGGACTGGCTGGAGTGTGTGCCTCTTGGCGGGGTTTGTTGGGACAGTTTCCTCTCTCTTTATAAAGGCTCGAAAGGCTGAAGGCAGGCTATAAATTTTGTATCCTCTCTGCGCTTATAAAATATAAATGCTGGTGACATTTGTGAGCTGAAAGCCTAAACAGTCAACCTTTGGGACTGGAAAGATCCATCTCTCACATGAGAGACTTTTCCAGCCTCCAGCTGGGCTGCGGTCCTGGGATGGACCCTTGGGCATCAGCTTCCAGGTGATGCTCCCCAGCACCCCAACCCAGCTCTGGTGGGCAAAGCTCGGCCAGGGTTTTCCTGCTGGAGTCACATCTCAGATGAAACCTCCATCCTGCTGCTTTTTCTCCTTTGGTTCTTTTCCCAGCCGGCCAGTGGGAAGTGCTGACTCAGCGCTTTGGGGATGAGCTGCTGCTTGAGCAACACCTGGGGCCGGCTCCTTCTCAGCATCTCCATGGGGTGCTGTATGGGGAATGGGGCCCAAAACCTGTTCCCTGATGGGGAGTTCCCTCCACAGGGATGCAGGAACTCATCTTCTTAAACCAGCATCTCCCAGGTTTTAGCTGGATCCCTCTGTGGACTGATGGAGCAGCCTTTTTCCTTGAGCTGTGTTTCAGGCTAGCGATATCTGGACACTTTGCTGAAATTTTTGCTCTGTGCCAGGTGTAGATTCAGAATTTAATGAAAAAGCAGCTTGAAAATGAAGAGAATTTTAGCTGGGGCTGTTTCGGGGGGCTGCATTCCCAGCTTGATGCTCTCTGATCCAGCATCATCCAGCACAGCCTTCCCCTGGGGCCCAGCCATTTGTGGCGTTGTTCCCAGTCTCGTGGGTGCTGTCATGTTGGGTTTGGGTGCCATATCGAGAGGCTTTTCTTCATCAACAGCTCCAGGGAAACCAACTCAGTGCACAGGGCCCAGACGCTGCAGTGGTGGGCTTCACTGGAAACTCAGTGCTCAGCTTCGGGTCTCCAAACTCTGTCTTTAGAGTGAGCATCTGAGCCTCGATTTCCTCTCTCTGGTGCCTGAAACAAAGTGACTCCTGGTACGTTCCTGCTCTAGAGGAAGGTGAGGGAGGTGGTGGCAGAGTGATGTCTTTTCCAGAGGGGTCTGGGCATGGCTGTGGTGGGAACGGGGCCACGTTCACACCCGCTCTCTTCCTCCCCGCGGTTCTGCCCCTTATCTTCTTCCTCCTCCCGTCTCTGCCCCTCGTTTCAGTTCCTCCTTCCCAAAATACACTGAGCTGCTGACAGCAGGGCCGATGACCCCAAAGTGATATGAGGAATTCATGAATACCGGGGCGGGTTTTGGGGTACGTGGGCAGGGGTGCTCTGCCCGCATCCCACTCGGTGCTCCCAGCCCGGCGCGACCCCAGTGCCCCAGCCCAAGAAAGCCTGGTTTGACGCTGGGCCTGGTGACTTCATCTCTTCCCAGGGGTCGAAGCAGTGAGAATAAAGCTGGGCTTGTTCCCCTCCCACGCACTGGGGCAGGATGTGACCCAGTCCTGGGCCTTGGGGCGCTGTCGGGCGAGGGAGGGGGAGCACAGCACCGCCAGTCAGTACATCCCCCTGGGATTTAGGAGCTGGCGGGAGCTCCTGCGTTGCAGAGTGCCGATGGATTTTATCCTGCAGGGAACAGATTTCAATGATTTCTTTTGGGTCGCAAGCCTGGGAAGCTCCCCAGGCTGGCTGTCTCCCTGCGTGGGTCACTGGGTGCTGTGGGAGAGCAGGGCTCCAGCTGCGTCGCTCCCAGTGCTCCCAGGGAGGACACTGGGATGCTCGTCAAGGCGTGTACTGGGGGCTAGGGGAAGCTACTCCTTGCTGGCTGGGTCACCTCCTCACCCTGTGCCTCAGTTTCCCCCTTGGTGCTACAGGGCCCAGAGAGGTGTGGAGGAAGCTTTTGCTTGGGTCCCTGGCTGCTGGGGAGCTCAGCAGACCCAAAGCTCCCACCTTCCCATCAGTCTGGGGACAAGAAGGACATTGAGATACTGGAGTGTGTCCAGAGAAGGCAACGAAGCTGGGGAAGAGTCTAAAGCACAAGTCTCCTGAGGGACCTGGGGCTGCTGAGCCTGGAGCAAAGGAGGCTCAGGGGAGACCTTCTGGCTCTCCACAGCTCCCGGAGCTGTGGCTCTCCCTGGCTCCCTGGAGCCAGCTGGGGTTCAGGCTCTTCTCCCAGGGAAAAGCAACAGGACAAGAGGAAAGAGCCTTAAGTTGTGACAGGGCAGGTTTAAGTTGGACATTAGGAACAATTTCTTCCCTAAAAGGGTTGTCCAGGCCTGGCCCAGGCTGCCCAGGGCAGTGGTGGAGTCCCCATCCCTGGAAGGGTTTCCAAGCCATGCAAAAGTGGTGCTGAGGGGCATGGGTCAGTGGTGCCCTGGCAGTGCTGGGGGAACGGTTGGACTTGGTGATCTGAAAGGTCTTTTCCAACCTAAACGTTTCTGTGGTTTCTGGAAGCAGTGCCTCAGACAGGACCTGTTTGGTGATAGGAGAGATGCCCACATGGTCTGGGGAGCATCCTTTGCACAGGAGGCTGCTCCCTTTGCAGTGTCCTTACAAAGCCCTCCTTTCCCTGTGCAGGTCTCATGGTACCAAGCGACGTGTCCCCCTTGTGAGATTCTCACCCCCAACCTCCTGAGAAGATGTCAGGGATGCAGGTAGGGGCTGGGAGGAGAGTTTCTTTACACGCTTCTGGTTAATTGACTCCCATTTGGGTCCGCACCAGGGGACGGGACCCCCGCGTGCCCAGGGGGTCAAGGGGGCTGGGAGGGGAGCCGTGCCTGAGGCGGGGGCTCTGACGCCATGCCCCTCTCCCTGCCCAGGCTGTCTGGCCGTCCGGTACAGAATGTATCGCCAAGTACAACTTCCACGGTACCGCCGAGCAGGACCTGCCCTTCAGCAAAGGAGACGTCCTTACCATTGTCGCTGTCACCAAGGTAAGGTGACACCCCACCTCCCCACGGCCCCCCCACCCCATGGGGTGTGCCAGTGGGATCCCCTGGTCCCTCTGGAAGTCCCAGAGAGGTGGCTGGGCAGGAATCGGGCCACGCGGCCAGTTAATTAACCCGTGGCCTCGTTAGTTAAGGTTGCTCTGAAATACTAGGCTCCTGGGAGGTGGAAGAGGGAGGGGAGAGGCTCACCATCGGGGACCGGTGCTGTGCTCGGCGCCAGCGAGGGAAAAACAGAGGAGTTGTCGGTCGGGGAGCATTGGGGTACCCGGGTAGCCTGGGAGGGGGATCGCAGTGACCCCTGCCGGGCCACTGGCGTCGAGGCTTGCTGGCCCCAGTGCCGACCTCGACTTGTGGGGCTGTCCCCTGCCCACCCTGTCCTGCCTGCAGCCACGGTGCTAGCTGCCTGGGAAAGGAGGAGCAGCGCTGACACCCTCTGGGCTCCTTTGGTGGGACACTGCCATCCCCAGGGGCCACGGGCTTGTCGTGACACCTCTGCTGTCCCCGCAGGATCCCAATTGGTACAAGGCGAAGAACAAGGTGGGCCGGGAGGGCATCATCCCCGCCAACTACGTGCAGAAGCGGGAAGGAGTGAAAGCTGGGATCAAGCTCAGCCTCATGCCGTGAGTATCCGAGGTGAATCTGGAGGGAGCCGGCTTGGTCTGGAGCATCCCCACGGTGTTGGACCGAAGGGCTGGTTGACCTCGTGTCCCAGCCACAGCTGCATTGCTTGCAGGGCTTAGGGAGGCTGGAAAGGAGAAGGCGCAGGGGCTGGGCCCTGCTGCTGCTGGGGGAAGCTCTGAGCACCTTTGGAGCCGCCTGCAGAGCCAGGAAGAAGATGGGGGGTTGAACTGCGTTTCAAAATGGGGCTTTCATCCCAAAGCTGTGGGGTGTAAAGTCTGTGGGGAGAGAGAAGAGGGGTTGGGACGCAGTCTGCACTGGAGGCAGATAGAAGAGGGGTGGATACGTGCCCTGTCACAGGTGGTTCCATGGGAAGATCACGCGGGAGCAGGCGGAGAGGCTGCTGTACCCCCCCGAGACAGGGCTTTTCCTGGTGCGGGAGAGCACCAACTACCCCGGGGACTACACCCTGTGCGTCAGCTGTGAGGGCAAGGTGGAGCACTACCGCATCATTTACTCCTCCAGCAAGTTGAGCATTGACGAGGAGGTCTACTTCGAAAACCTCATGCAGCTGGTGGAGGTGAGGTCTGCTCTGGCCCCGCCACGGCCAGCCTGGGGAACAGAGGTTTGAGGCTGCAGGGCTGGAGCCCGGGAGGTGGTGGGGTTTTCTCTGCTGATCCCAGATCGGCAGCCCCAGGGTTGGGGCTGCCGGGGACAGGCCCCTGATGCAAGGTGGGGGAAAGGATGAAGGAGGTGGCTGGGTGGGCAGGGGTCAGAGGGACCAGGAGGAGGGACAGGGACACCCAACCCTAGAGCCCCAACCCAGGCCCGTCCGTGGCCTCGTGCTGCCACCTGGTGGGATCCCAGAGCTGGACATCACCTTGGCAGGGACCCCTTACCCTAGGGTGTCACCCACCTCACCCCATCTACCCCCCCAGCATTACACCACGGACGCGGACGGGCTCTGCACCCGCCTCATCAAGCCGAAGGTGATGGAGGGGACGGTGGCGGCGCAGGACGAGTTCTCCCGCAGTGAGTGGCCATGTCCCTTCCCCGGCTCCTTGGGACCCCACAAAAACTCCCCCCCCGGCACAGGCGGCTGGGCCCTCAACATGAAGGACCTCAAGCTGCTGCAGATCATCGGCAAAGGGGAATTCGGAGGTGAGCCCCATGTCCCCCAACGCCACAATGGCCCTAAAGTGAGGGGAGGCTCCTTTGCAGCCCCCCTGGGGTGATGGTGGGGCCTCGGGAGGCTGGGACACTTCTCGGTGCCTCCCGTGCCTGTCTCTCCTGGCCCGCAGACGTGATGCTGGGGGATTACCGGGGAAACAAAGTCGCCGTGAAGTGCATTAAAAACGATGCCACAGCTCAAGCCTTTCTGGCGGAGGCGTCCGTGATGACGTGAGTGTAACTGGGGGAGGCTGGGGGGACAACCCCAGTGAGGGGGCACCTCTGTCTGTACGAGCAGAGGCGGGTGGTTCCCAATGCCCTGCGTGGACCATGTGAGCCCCCTGCTTCTCCCCAAAACCCTACCCTGAGCCCTCCTGCACTGTGCAGGCAGCTCCGACACAGCAACCTGGTGCAGCTCCTGGGGGTGATCGTGGAGGAGAAGAGCGGCCTTTACATCGTCACCGAGTACATGGCCAAGGTGAGACCCCCCCACCCCGCTTAGCCCCCCACTCCCAGGGTCACCCTGGCAGACCCAGCTGGCTCAGCGCCCAGCTTGGGTGACATCTCCCGGAGGCCACCGTGGTGTTTTGGGGGGGTGGCATCACTGGCTCTGAGGGAGGGACGTGATCCACAGAATGCTGACCCCGGTGCCACCATCTCTCTCCATCCATCCAGGGCAGCCTAGTAGACTACCTGCGGTCGCGTGGGCGGTCAGTCCTGGGCGCAGACTGCCTGCTCAAGTTCTCCTTGTGAGTACCACCACTAGGCACCGAGCATTGGCCATGCCCACGACCCTGACCCTGTTTTGGGACCACCTCGCTGACCCCCTCTCTTCCTCCCACCCCAACCAGAGACGTCTGTGAAGCCATGGAGTACCTGGAAGCCAACAACTTTGTCCACCGGGACTTGGCAGCAAGGAACGTCCTGGTCTCGGAGGACAACATTGCCAAGGTCAGCGATTTTGGGCTGACCAAGGAAGCCTCCTCCACGCAGGACACGGGGAAGCTGCCAGTGAAGTGGACGGCACCAGAAGCACTTAGAGAAAAGGTAGGGGAGCAGTCCTGGGCTGTGGGGACGTGATGAAGGCTGGAGGAAGGGGATGCGGCCTGGGTTGCCCCAAATTTTCCGTCCAGAGGTGGTGCCTGAGCCCACCCAGTTCCCGCTGTCTGACCCCCAAAGCCAGCTGCCCTGAAGGTGGGGAAGATCTGCTGCCCCCACCTCTGCCCTGAGTACCTGCTCATGGGGCTTCTCTCCTTTCCCTCCAGAAATTCTCCACCAAGTCAGATGTGTGGAGCTTCGGGATCCTCCTCTGGGAAATCTACTCCTTCGGGCGAGTGCCTTATCCGAGAATCGTAAGCGAGAACCACTCCTGCTCCCCTTAGGGCTGCTTCTCAGGGGGGCTGAGCACTTGTTTGGGGGAGGGGGAGGAACCAAACCCAGCCTCTCACATCCTGAAATGCATCCCCTGTGCCCCCAGCCCCTGAAGGACGTGGTACCCCGCGTGGAGAAGGGCTATAAGATGGATGCTCCCGACGGTTGTCCTGCCGTCGTCTATGAGGTGATGAAGAAATGCTGGACCCTGGACCCCGGGCACCGGCCATCCTTCCACCAGCTCCGCGAACAGCTAGTGCATATCAAAGAGAAGGAGCTCTACCTGTGAGGGAGGGGGCTCACCCCCCCTGGCAGCCAGAGGGGACCCACGCTGGGAGGGGGACAGGGGTGGGCAGCTCCATCCGCCCAGCCCCGGCACCAGGAGGGGCCAGGAGGGAGCCCCAGGGGTGTGTCCTCCCCACCCGCAATCCTCCTGGTCACTTCCAAACTTCCAAATCAGTCTTTCCCTCCCACCCCCCCAAGGTTTTGGGGTTGGTTTTGTCCCCGGGGTTTTTTTTTTTTTTTTTTTTTTTTGAGTGGGTTCTTTTTTGTCATTTTCTCAGTTTTGGTTTTTTTTTTTTTTGATGTATTTTTTGTTGTTTTTTATTATTTCAAGCAAGGCTCAGCCGAGTGCTGGGCGTTTTACTAAAGTACGAATCTTATTTTTTAATGTAATTAAAAGAAGAAAATAAAAAAAAAAGAAAAAAAACAACGGAGAGAAGACGGTTAGTAAAAGAAGAAGAATAAAATAAATAAGCCAATGAAACGGACACACGAAAAGGAAAACCCCCACGACAGAAGTGATGGTTAAAGGGGAGACGCTGGACTCGCCGCCCGGTCGGGAGAGCGCCGCCACGTCCCCGTGAGACGCTTTTTTTTGGGTTGTTTTGCTTTAAACTCGTTGCAATGTTTGCATGCTGTCTCCAGAGGCCTTTTTTTCCAGTCCTGTCCAGTGCTTTATTCTCATGTAATGCTACCAACTGTGAGATTAAAACTGTAATAAAAAAAAAAATCCATTCCCTATGGACGCGGCACGTCCCACCTCACCACCCCTGTGTCTCCGGCTCTTCTTCCGCAGGATGCAGCTGTGGGGAGGGGGACACAGTGCCTTGGGGGTCCTGGCATCCTCTGGACAGTACCCCGATCCCTTCTGGGCCACCTGGCTCCATCCTGCCCACAAGAACCAGCGAGGCTGTGACAGTGATGAAGCTGCCGAGTGTTGGCGAAGCTCCATTTTAAGCTGGGCTTTATCTTCCCACCTTTGGAGATGCTTGGACTAGGTTGGGGAAGATCTGGGTATGTGTTTTGGAGCTGATCCCTGGACCTTGACCTTGTTCCCTGCCCTGCTTCTCTTGGCCAAAGGGCTAAAGATGGGGCACCCCCGCCATGTCCTGGACCCCCCCACCTCAAAGGAGGTGTCCCCACAGAGTCCCAGCTGTCTGGAAGGGTGCAGGTGGTGTCTGGCACAGAGGGCTCGGCAGGTTTAAAATAGTTCCTTTCATCCATGGAGAATTATTCAGCGTTAAATGATGCGCGTGGCATCAGTTTTACCAGCTGCCTGCTTCACCAGCCGGAGTTGGGAGCTCTCAGTTTTGGGACCAAGATTCCTTTTGGTGGAGTGAAAGAAATACTGCAGGAGGGCTGGGACAGCAGGCACAGCTCAGGTCTAGGTGGGATGGAGAATGGAGTGACACAGCCTTCAAGAGCACTTGGGTGGGGAGATGGAGCCAAGTGCCCCCTTCCCCTGGGACCTTGGTGTGTGGTAACTGGAGGGGACGGCACAGGGATCTGATGGGTGTTTATCCACCCTAGAGATTCATTTTTCCCTGGACTAACCCACCCCTCCTCTTGTTCACATCACACACACACACTCCCCCTTTACTCCAGCAGGCCCCAGCCATATAAGCAGATTTACTTTTTGGGCTTACGAAGATTAAAGTCATTTACAGGCAAAGCCTGCAAGAAACATGGCTTTAGAAATGGTGAGGAATAACCAGCACCTTCGTGTGATGGTAGACACAAAGGAAGAGGTTTGGTCCAGCCCCACATCCCATCCCCTCTGGTCCCCTTGCTCTGGGTCACTGCTGGTCGATGGACCCCCTGCCAGCCATCAAAAAAAAAAGGGGGAGAAAACCTAACCCAAAACTCACAGAGACCTTTGGTTCTCTTCTAAATGGCATCACGCTGCCCATCTCCAGGACTGGGCCTGGTCCCCTGGGCAGGAGGGGGCCTTTGGGGGTGTCTGGTGCCACCCTGATATCCTCAGTATTCTCTGGGATGCAGTTTGAGGCTGCTGATAGAGGACTGTTGGAAGAAATCCCCTTCTTGGCAGCTGAACCCTGCCAAGTCCCTCCTGCCGCCAGTGCGCGTGCCTCAGTTTCCCCCACGTGCGGCTGTTTGTTCCTGGCTCCTGTCTCTGGGTCCCTGCTGCTTTGGGCTGCTGCCCAGTGATGCACAGCCTGTATCACACTAGGAGATTCCCCCCTATGGATCTGGGGGCCATTTCCTACCCTTCAGCACCCTGTGAACCAGCGTGGGCAGAGGGAACAGGATGATACCCAGGGGCTACTGTGGCTCGGGGGCTGGCTCACAACGTGTCCCTCTCCTCCTCCTGCTCCTCCTCCCATTGGTGATGAGGAGATCGGCACTGGGCCCAGTTGTGTCAGCTCCCATCCTGCCTCAAGTTCGTGGCGTGAATCATCAGCAGCAACAGCAGGCAGGGAGTTCTTGCTGCTGCCAGCGCTGCCACACAATGGGGCGCCCAGGGACCCCCTTCTGCCTTTGTCCCGTGTCATGGAAGGACGGAGACTCAGGTCTGAAAAAGCTCCTGCAAAATTTGGCCTCCAGTTCTGGCAGTCCTCGTGCCTCTCCCCTCAGCACCGCTGAGCAGGATTCCAGCTTGGGCTGGAGCTCAGCACCCCCGGCCAGGCTGGGGAGCGCATGGCACCGGTGCCGACGTGGTGTGCAGGAGGTGAAAGGATGATTTCTGAAGCCACACATGCTTTGCTTTTCTGCCCTCATTCCTCACCTTGCCATCGGGGCTCTTTCCTTTGACTTTGGCTCTTCCTGAGTTCCTTCCCCTGTGGCCCAGTCCCTGCCTGCCTTCTCCCCTTCCTCCAGGGTTGTGAGGAGCCTTTCTCTCCCTGAACAACAAACCCAGGCTCACTTCAAAGGAAAGCACAGCTCCCATCTGTTCCAGGCGCTATTCCAGCTGCAGCAATCGCTCCCTGCTTCCCGTTTCCCAGGGCTGCAAAGCATCCATCCCAAAAAGGAGGGGATGTAAAGTGCCTGGGCAGGTCCCCTCCCAAGCTGCCTGCTGCTTAATTCCCTCAGCACTGCTTGGAGCAAAGTACCAGCTCTAATTATGGCCCGACAAGGCTCCTTCTGCTCCATCCTTGCTGTGTGGGCTTACAGACCCCTGGCAGCCCTTGTCAGCAGCTGTGTGCTGCCTGCACCTCCTCCCTCTCCACGATTGACTTTATCACAGGCACTATTTTTAGCATGATGAACAAAGCCATTCCCGTCACCGTTCAGTATCGTTCACCTCGCTGGCTCCGCTCTCCAGCTTTTCCTTCTGAGCACTCCAGGAAATGAAGGCAAGGCTGGAAAGATCCCCCGTGGGAAAAAAAAAAAGCCCTGCGTGTGTGTGGCCGTGTGAGTGTGTTTCGGCTGGCGTGTGCCTTTGCTCCGGGCTTGCTCTCCACCACTGGCAGCAAAGCAGCACATGGTCTCCCCATGTGCCTGTTTACATGCTCTGTGTGTCTGTCCGGGTGTATTTGTGTCACTGCTTGGGTGCAGACTCCGCTGTGGGAGACCCTCCCAGCCCAACCACCTCCCTTTCCTTCCTCACCTCTTCAACAGCATCTCACTGCCCAGCACGTGTGGCTACAAGCACACTGCTCTGGGCTATGACCTGCTCCCCTGCCTGCCTACCCCCCTTTTTTGAGAACACACCCACGGCACCCCCATATCCCCCATGCCTTGGGGTAGAGGTGTACGCAGCCCTGGCAGGCCCATCCTCATCCCACTCCCCACAAACCCTCCCAAAATCCTGAGTCTGGGCAGCCCCATGCTCAGCCAAATGCTTTAGACAAGGGCGTTCAGAGAAAATTGCAGGGACATCTCAGAAGCAACCCCAATCCTGGCTTTCCCTCCATAGGGCTTCAGGGTACTTGGCTGTCACATATCCTCCTCCTGCCTTGAAATAAATGGGGAGAGCCTGATCCTTTCTGTGAGCTGGCATTAAACCTCCCTGGGCAGTGAGGGCTCCACTGGTCTTCAGTTTTGGGGGTGTAACCAAACAGAATAATCTGTTGTGCACATACGTGTGTCTGTGTGTGTGTGTGTGTATATATATAAATCTATCTATCCATCTATCTATCCACAAGTGCTTACCCAGAACAGAGATTTGAGGGAGATACACCACAGGGAACGGTGTAGGATACTTATGATCAAAACAAATTTAGCAATATAACACTATTTACTTGTATACTGGCAAAGAGGAGCAACAGGCATGACCCCGTAAAGGACCTTGCAACATCTTCCTTTGTGCCTCCTCTCCCTCTCAGCCCGGGCTGCCACAAGCAGAAGCAACCACATCCCTGACGAGGGCTGCTCTGCAAGTGCATGGGCGCGCAAGAGCTCGGGATGCAATTAACCACAAGGTTTTTTTTGAAAAATAAAGATTCGCTACATGTGCTATATAGCCTATGTGATATAGAGCTCTCCCTGAGTATCATTAAGGCTCAATATAAAATAACAGTAATCACCCACCCCCACACACACTCCCCTGCCCTTGGGATTTCTTCATCCTCAGGCGACGATGACAGATTTTGGGAACATAAAGGCTTGGTTCTGGAGGAGTAGGAAGCTTTCCACTGAAATGGCCTCCCTGGGTCACAAAAAAGGCAGCTTCCATTTCATTTCCATGCAAAGCTGACTGCTGTGCTGTGTTTCATCTTCCTCAGCCGAGACCAACTCCAGATGCAGTTAGCTTTAATTACATTCAAGTAACATGAAAGGAAGTAATTTTATTTGATAATTTACAACATATTTACCCTAAAATTTCTTTATTCCTATGTTAACAACATGGTGGCACGTTTACCCCAGGGAGTGTTGGGCAGAAGAGAACCTTCTACCCTTTGAAGGGACATTGTGCTCAAGACCTCAAGATATTTTCTCTCTAACTTTTGGCAGCAGAAGCGTGCGGTGGTCCAGAACAGCACTGGGACCCTCCAGCCAGGCTGTGCCCCCCCGAGGTCCTGCTGCGTGTCCCCGCTTCAGCAGCTCAGTATTTTCTTAATAACTTCTTAACTGCTGTCATGGAGCAATAGTTACCTTCTTACAGGTAAGTAGTTTACATGGAGAAGCTGATTGTGCCAGTGAGGATACACAAGAAACTTTTATCGGCTGCTCTGTTGTTCTGTTTCAGCAGAGACTAATTAGCATTGAGGCTTAATCAGCA